AGAGAGAGAGAGAGAGAGAGAGAGAGAGATTATATAATAATTTCAATATGTTAATAAACTAGGGTAATATTGTTATGATGGCAGTTGTTATATAATTTATAAATAATTAGCAAATAACTTTAAAATTAACGTTAATCATGGTCAAATAGTTTTAATTAAAGCTACTAACTCAATCTGTTTAGCAGTTAATACCATGAGCACCCGGTAAGCGAACGGACTGTTTTGTTGGCTGTATACCCGCAACACATCGGGGTTAAGCCGCGGTGGGTACGGATCGCCTAGGTTGATAACAATAATAATTAATTAGTAACAAATTAATGATAAATAATTAATTTAATTTATACAGATATGTAAAATACACATAAAATACTCTTTTTATAATTAGCCACCGGACGAGACATAACGAGGTGTTTATAAATTAAAACTTTTAAATAATTGTTTACAAAAATAATAATAATTTATATTTGCAGTACTGTATTATAAAAATGTCTTCAGTATCAACATGAAATAATCATTTGAATGATTATGATAAAAACAGTTTTTACAATTTACACTTTGTTGTTATGGCATTGAAACACCATGGTGTGCGTAATGATACTTAAATATTTATTTTAGATAATAATATATATTCCATTGTTTTTAAACTACCTTAGTATACTACCTTTATATTTGGCATTGACTTTTATGTATGAGTATAAGTTATGCTGCATAAAAATAATCATTATGGTATTTACTTTTTTCTTTAGTTCAAATATTATGTATTAATTGTATTTTCAATTATTATTTGTATTGAGTTGTAATAAACATAAAACATTTATTTATGTTATATTTTATTATTAGTAATATTTTATTTAAGTCTATTAAGCGGATAAAAATATTTTAAAAACAAATTACCATCACTTATATTACTACCCTAATTAAACAGCAAAAAAGTTACATAAATCTAGACCAAATAAAATATATTCAGATAGAGCAAACAAATCATAACATTTAATTTATTTAGTCTCAAAACGTTTGCGAAATGTACGCATATTTTCCATAAAGGTCTCTACGGGTAGGCCAGCACTCTGAACAGTAGTGTTGCCAGACATTTGTCTCCTGTAATTGTTGACAGTTGGCAACTCTCGCCGCAAATAGTCAGCCCCGTTATGACCCGCGATGTCTACAAATAGCGGAAGGCGTTCAATGGAGGGCCATATCATGTAATCGACGAGCCCGGGCTGTGTCGCACCTGTAGGCAAGTTTAAGCACATGTATTATAATCTATACAAACTAGGTACAATTATAATTATTATCATAATCAGCTACTTTATTGTTACATTTATTATTATTATATTACATACAATATAAAGATGTGCATTTATTATACTTGCATGATGATAAATATAATTATTATCTATTAAATGCTAGATTTATTAAATAAATTAACCAAGCATTGTTAAATAATTTTTAAAAATCATACCTGATAAAAATGTCTCTGTTCCTTTTTTGTCGGCTAACAATTTGTCTAACTTTTTGAATCCATTGACAATCTGTGGCCAATCGGCCGACAAATCAGCCGACATAAAGAAAGGTCTGGATGCGGGACCCCATAAGTTGCTAAATAGCTCAATAAATATCAGATCCCTGGCCTTCTCGTACGGGTCCCGGGACTGTAGGGGTCGGGTCTCGGGGTACGCCTCGTCCAGGTATTGGCACACTATTAGCGACTCGTATAGCACTTTGTTGTCCGGTCCAAACTCTATGATGGGCAATTGTCCCCCTGGGTTACGCTCGCGAATCCAGTCAGGTGAATCAACTAGATTCACGTTGATTGTTTCATACCTGTTAAATATTTTTAATATTTAAGTCAATGAATTAGTTATAAGTCTCATAATTTTGGTGATCATCATTATAATACATACTCAATATTTTTAGCAACCAAGACCAATTTAACTCGCTCGCAGAATGGACATGTTGGGCTGCTATAAAACCGAAGTAGGTTAGTGTTACCACGAGCCGGAAATTCGTCACCTAGATAGTTATAGTTTTTAGTAATAAAAAATTTATTTATTTAGTTTAATACACAATAAAAAATTATTGTTTAAAATATGAATATTAATAATAATGTAAAAACAATAATTTAAACCTTTTTTGTAAATTTTGTCCAACATTTCAATTATTTTTAATGTTTAGCTAAAAATAAATTAATTTATAAAACTTAATAAAAACTAATAGTATAATTACATTTAATATAACTTGTTTAAATACTAAATATATAACATAGTGCAAAAATGCCGCAGTGTCATTGAAAGATAATAATATAATATAATGTAATTAAATAGAAAATTAACAAATATTATTATCGTGGAATTTTATTTCATGTTAAGTTATGACTAACATGATTTTTATTTTTTAAAAACCAGCTTAATTGTTAATCATGTATACACTAATTTCTCTCTCTCTCTCTCTCTCTCTCTCTCTC